CAACATTTCAAATATGTCCGCAGCGGGAGCCTCGTCTGTGAGGTGTAGGAGGAGGAGGAGGGGCAGAACTATATGCTTTTGCATGGGTTTCTTTCGCTAGTGAGCTGGACCCATGTGTTTTGCCGTGGGCCCCCTGCGCGTGTGATCTCAAACAAATACCAGCGTTTGCCCCAGAAATTGGTCAGAAAACGGAACATTGTTTTTGCTTGCGCGCAGAATCGTCGAGGATGTTTTCAGCAAGACGCTTGTTTTGAAGAAGCGCCTCAGGTCACTCAGGCGGATGTCTGAGTGACCTGATGTCGGGCGACGCGCTTGATTTTAGGTATCCAGGTCGCTCAAGTGGATGCCTAACACGAGTATTGAATGAGGATTGAAGGTGTCCACGTTGCCCAGGCGGATGTCTGACAGAAGGACTGGGTGAGGATGTCTGCAGCGAAACGATTGTTTTCACGAGCCCAGCTCGCCCAGGCGGATGTTTAATACGAGGACGTGTTGAGGATGTGTTGAGAGAAACGCGTGCTCTCCGGTGCCCAGCTCGCCCCGGCGGGTGTCTAACTTGAGGATTTTGTTGAGGATGTCTCAAGTCGAACGCGTGCTCTGCAGTATTTGTTGAGGATGTCTCCAGCGATGCTCTCTCATGCAGCGAAATGCTCATTATGAAGAATATGTTGAGGATGCCTCTCGCGAAATTGTTTGAGGAGGTGTCGAGCGGGGGCTTTGTCGTCGAGTCGGTGCGCTTTGTTCCAGTTCGGGTTCGCCCCTCCGTTCGGCTTGTCCCACTGCGGAACCCAATCGGATCTTGAGATCGAGTAGGTTGATTGCCCCGCATGCTTTCACTGCAGTCTGCTTTGGGCGAGCCTGCGCGTAGGCAGCTTGAGCTCGAGATCCAGATCATTTCGGACAGGATGGGGGTGCCAAGGATGGCTTGATCCACAACGCAACAAAGAATAGCAACGTTCGACATGGTATGACGCAGCATAGTGCAGCACAGCACGGATCAATCGCAATTTACGCCGGGATCGTGGCTTTGCTACTTGCGAGAGGCCTTGGCACATCGGAGGAGTGCGGTTCCCTCGTCAGGAGCCCCCATGGGGATTCAGGATGGTAGGCCGATGCGTCCTCGGCTCGTCCCAGTCTAGGTTTGTGCTGTCGCGCTTCGAGCCAGATCGGTTCGGCTTTCGTCTCGGTTCGTATCCTGTCAGTTCGCCTTTGATGCAGTTTGTCGCGTCTTGGTTCTTCGCGCTTCGTCTATTCTCGTTGAGTTTCGCATCGGTTCGGAATCGCCCCCTCTTGACACGTCCCAGTACGAAACGGAGTCTGATCTGAGTCCGAGTTGGTCGAGCACCCCTCGCTGCTCGACTGCAACCAGCTCCAGGTATACGTTCAGGCAGTTCGAGCCTGAGATCCAGATCGTTTCGGTCAGGATTGCGACGCCAAGGACGACTTGATCCACAAGACGCAAGAGCACAGCACAGTTCAACGCGGCATGGCGCATTCCAATTCATCACACATCGCACAGCACAGCCCCTGGCACGGTTCATCACCATGGTTGTGTGAGCATTGCAATTGTTTATCGCCCACGTTTGGTATCTTAGAACATTGCTTGTCTCATGATCCTGCATCCCTTTCCAGGTCCGTGGGTCAAGGGCTCCCACGAGGGCGCGAAGTCATTCGCGCTTCGCGGTCCTCGTTCCTTCTCCCCCTCCTCCTCGTTCTCCTTTTCTCCCTTTGGGGGGGCGGCGCGAGAGCGCGAAGGTTTTCGCGCTTCACGTAGCGCGAAGCGCGAAGTTGGGAGCCCTGGGTGACTCCTTCCTGTGCGCGCTGTCGGCCCCGGACTGACTGCGGTCTCCGCTGTGCCTCCCCGGGCCTCTCCCGCTCTGCCGGGCCCCCCTCCCCCGCCCACGCCTTGTGCCTTGCCGCTTCTGCCGTGTGCTTCTCTCTCATCCCGCTCCTCCTCCTCCTCCTCCTCCTCCTCCTCCTTCTTCTCCTCCTCCCCCTCCTTCTCCTCCTCTTCCTCCCCCTCCTCCTCCTCCTGCTGCTGCTCCTCCTCCTCCTCCTCCACCTCCTCCTCCTCCTCTTCCAGCCCTCGTGGAGGCAGCCCAGGACCTCGTCACCGTTTATAGGGAGGAGCTCCAGGTTGGCCTTGCCCACGACAAGGCGGTGGTCTTTGGGTCTCCCCATGATGTCGTTCGTGAACTCGACCGACGGCTTGCTCGAATCGGTGCTCGCTCAGCGGCTGCTACGACCTCTGCCACTGCGCTCGGTGCCGACTTCGCTCCTGCCCGTCCTCGTGCTGCGCCTGGTGCTACGTGTCGGATGAAGAAACGGTTTCGAGCTATGAAGAGACGTGTTGGCTTCCTGCGTTCGCTACGTCGACGGCTCTCTGTGGGCAAGGCCAAACTTCACAAGATATATATATATCTGGAGTGCGCCCTGCCACTACGTACGGATCACTCGTCACTGGCATGACGGAGAGAGAGTTGTTGGTGTTACGACGTGCCCTCGTCCCGTTCCGAGGAGGCTCGCTACCCGCTCGTATGCTCCTGTATGACGACCCAGGGTGGAAGGTAGCAGTGGCGCCCGTCATTCAATATTCCAAGGCAGTATGGAACTCGATTGTGCATCCTGATCGTGCTGTGCTATCGTGGAGGTTCTTGCAAAAGACGTGGGATGCTGTAGCCGTGAAGTATCCAGTCTTGCAGCAGTCGCAGTGGAATAAGAGTGCTGGCCCCATTCACCGTGCCATGTTGTGTTTGCATCGCCTAGGATGGAAGTTCACCAACTTCAAGACTTTCTTCGATGACAACCAGATAGAGCATGATTTGTTTTTCACCTCTCCTGCCTTGCTTGCCAAGCAGTTGCATGCTAGTATTCTCCGCCATCATGGCCGTAGCTTTGCTGCCACTCTAGCGCAGGGGCAGGGACAGGAGGTTTCCGCAGATTTCATTGTCAAGGCTGTCCGTTCTAAGAAATTCTCGGCGCTGCAAAAGCATGTTGTAGCCTCTGTCTTTGCTGGTGGCATGTGGACCGAGGACCGCCTTGTGCAGCATGGCTTTGAATCAACAGGTCTTTGCCCCTTGTGCTCCCAGCCCGATTCAATTCATCATCGTCTCTGGTGCTGCCCTGCTGTGGCTGCTGCTAGGGAAGAGGCGACGTCGGCAGAGATTGTAGCAGATGCGCGCGAGGAGCCCGGAGATCTTCTGTGGTCCAGGCTCCTGGTGTTCCAACCTCGCCCCGACGAGTTCCCTCCTCCCTCCTCTGAGTTGTTTCCTGTCTTCCAGGATGCCCAGGGCAACCCTGTGTCCCAGGAGACCTTCCAGGAGCTCAGCGCGGGATGTGATGTTTGTGTTGACGGTAGTGCAACTCGAACTGAATTCGCCCGTCTCAACCGAGCGGCTTATGCCGCTGTCTTTCTGGAGAATTCTGAGCAGTGCGAAGTCCGATGTAGGATGCAGGGTGTGGTGTGGGAGTCCCTACCCCAGACGGCTCCGTCTGCCGAACACCTTGCCCTAGCTATGCTTTCCATCTTCCAACGGGGCCCAGGGACCACGAGGCCGTTTTCCGATTGTTTGGGCGCTGTGCGCTTGACTCAAAAGCCTGCCCTCGCCCAGCTGAACGGATCCCAAGTTTTTGCTGGTCTGCGCCGTGGTGCGCTCCAGCATCCAGGACACACACATATTGGGTACGTTAGTCACACCCGTGCCCATCGCTCTGAAGATGTCATCTCTGCGCTCCCACCCGATGAGGAAAGGATCGCGCGTGGCAACCAGTTGGCCGATTTGTTAGCCAAGGATGCCCTTTCCCTCCACCCCCGTGCTCCTCCCGCCACCTCTGAGTTGCATGGGCTAATGGTCAAACGCCTCCGCGCCGCCATTCGTGTGGCGGCGGCGGTCCTTCCTGCTTTCCCCCTCCCATCCTTTAAGAAGATCAAGGTGCCGAGCATAACGCGGGTTGTGTCGTGGCACGAGTGGTGTCGTGTGGGGAGTTGGAAGTTGCGTTGTGCTCGGTGCCTTGGGGCTTGCCCTGAGCATGACGAGCGCCCTCTCAATCAGTGCTCAGGCCCCCCTCCGCTCCTTGTAAAGCTGCGTGAGAGCGAAGGGGTGGGCGGCCACGTCCTGAGGGCGTGCTGGACAGCACGCGATCAGGTCCTAGTGTATTGCTGTAAATGCGGGGCCTATGCGGAGGAGAGGTCGAGTGGCGCCCTCTTCAAGCCTTGTCGCCCTGCCTTGACGCCCCAGCGGGCGTATGACCGACGGCGCCTGGAGGCTGGGCTTCACCCGCACTCGCGTCGCCGCGAGGAGACCCTCCAGGCGCCGACCCCTCTCGAGTCCGACCTCATTCGGCGGTTGGTGGGTGGGACGGCTGGGTGGGCGGACGTCTCCTCCTCCTCCTCCGTCACTGCTGCTCTCATTCGGAATCCTCGAATGGATGCGCTTGTGGCCCGATTGCAGGCCAAGTTTTGGCAGTCGTCGACGGGCTCGTAAGTCCTGCTCGGCGCGGGTCGGATTCGAGTTTTGCCGCCTTTTTGGCGTGTCGGATCCGTCCCTCCGTGCCGCGTCGGCTGCCCGTCGCCGTACCGTTGACGTTCCTTCTTGTTTGGGTCCTCCTCCTCCTCCTCCTCCTCCTCCTCCTCCTCCTCCTCCTCCTCCTCCTCCTCCTCCTCCTCCTCCTCCTCCTCCTCCTCCTCCCCTCCTCCTCCTCTCCTCTGCCTCCTGCTATTCTTGCTCCTGCTGCTGCTGCTGCTGGTGCTGGTGTTCCTCCTTCCTCCTCCCCATTCACTTTTTTTTTCTCCTGCTGCGGAGTCGGAAGAGGAGGCCGAGCAGAACGGAGGAGGGGCGAGGACGGTGGAGGAGCGGGGGCAGCAGCAGGAGCAGGATGAGCAGCATGTGCGTGAGGAGGACGGGAGTGGACGGCGGAGGTGGAGTAGGGGGGATGATGGCGGGGCGACCTCGTCGCGTGCGATCTCCCAGCACGCGCAGTTGGGGTGTCGGGGCGGCGAGGAGATCGCGATGGACCTCTTCGTTGCTTCCGACCAGTTCGGAGTGGAGCGTCTCAAGAGGCGCTGCTCCCTAGTCATCCATGTCCTCCCCGTCCTGCTGCTGCTCCTCTTCTCCCGCTCCTCCATATCACCTGTTCCGTCGTCTTACCTTCCGCCTCTCCTCCTCGTCTTCCTCCCTCCCTCCCTTCCCATCCCTCTATATCTCTCTCTCTCTCTCTCTCGCGCTCTTGTTCTCGGTTGATTTGTGTTTATCTCTCTCTCTCTCTCTCTCCTCCCTCTCCCCCTCCTCCCCTCCTCCTCCCCTCTTGTCTTCACCCAGGCCTCCTATGCTTGGGGGGGGGGCATGTTGCCAGGGCAATCAGAGGATTGTGGCATGGGCAAGCCGATGCAGCCGCGGGTGACCCGAACTTGCTCGTCCTGCCCCTGGTGTACTCGCTAATCCTCTGCCGCCTCTTCTGGCCATTTGGGGGGGGAGTGTTTCGCGACGCTGCTGGGCGAGGGAGGGAGGGGAGGAGGAAGACGTGCACCGAATGCAGGCCCCACGTGTCACGGTTGCTGACCGTATCGTCACCCCCCCCGGCGTCGAGAGGCTCTGCGAGAAGAAGATACTGCTGTCGATCAACATAGACAGCGCGGCGACCATTTTGCAGGCCGCGCGCTGCTCGTTTTCGGGCGAAGAGGGAGGATACGGAAGGGAAGATGGAGGCATTCAGGGAGGATTGGAGGCTGTTGTTTCTCCCCTTTTAACTCGTTGTCGTCCTCCTCCTCCTCCTCCTCCTCCTCCTCCTCCCCCTCCTCCTCCTTCTCCTCCTCCTCCTCCTCCTCTTCCTCCTCCTCCTCCTCCTCCTCCTCCTCCTCCTCCTCCTCCTCCTCCTCCTCCTCCTCCCCCAACCACGAAGGAGAAGAGAGGAAGGGCGAGGGGGAGGGGGGAGGGAAGTGAGGATGGCACGGCGACGGCGATGATGACGGCATGCCAACGACCACTGAAAACGGCAACGGAGACGTCATGCGTACGTCCAGGAATCTTCCAAATTATTCGGGCACTTGCGGGAACCTCCGCAAACTTACATATCAGATCATCCGAATCAAGTCCCTTCAGGAATACCAGGAAACCACCTGGAATCTCCAGAAGTTTCCAGGATTCTCCAGAAGCCCTCCACACCCTGCGAAAACTCCCGAAAACCGACGCCGTCGACTGCGGTGGCGGCGAGGACGACGGCGACAGCTTCGGCGACCGCGACCGCAATAGTCGGGTCGGGGCTAGGAACATGTCCACCTATGACACGTTGTTGTGTGTGTCCTCCACTGAGTGGCAGATGGCGGCATTTTGATTGGGTTCCCGAGAAAGGAGCTCCCAGGCGTTGGGGGTGCCAGGGCGCGGTGAGGGTCAGCGTGGGAGCTCAGGGTGGGGAGTTCGGCCCGGTTCCGGGCTAGAGAATGTCGTGCGGAACAAGTAGCTCGAGATGTCGGGGCGCGGTGAAGGTCAGGGTGGGGGGTCAGGGTGCAGGGTCGAGGTCCCTTCTGGGCCAGATAGGAGCCTTATCTGTATGTACTCGCACGTCCGCCTTTCGAGAGTGCATTCGCGTGCGCCAGCGCCTGGTGATCGATGAGAGAGTGCCGATTCGGCGTCGGTCTCGCGTCGATTAGCGTCCACTGGCGTCGGCGAGCGCCGATTCGCAGGATCCAGCAAGATGGCATGGGAGACTCCCACGGGTTGCCACCGGCCCCTTGTCCAGGGTGCCTTTCAAGGGTTCTCACTGAGAGAACGCTTGGCCCTGAGCCAGACAGGCCCCCGGGGGGAAATACAGATCTGCACGGACCGACCACAACGTTGCTTATCTGAGGTTAGGGCCTTTGCTATATGATTCGCTGTGCTTTCGTTTCGTTCCGTTGCTTTTTGTGTTTTGATCACCTCGTTTCGTTTCGGTTCGTTTGGCACCGATGTCATTCTAACATTCGTTTGAAATGTTTGGTTCGTCTCGCTTCCGTGTTAAGCAACATCTCGTTTTACACATCACAGTTTCATGTTCAGCTCGGCGTACGCCGCTGGTTTCCCCTCGGCCAAGTGGGTCCGAGGGCTCCAGCGATACACCTACGGTGGGGGCGTTGGTTCAGGAACGTGCCCAGGAGGCTTCAGACCCCGGAGGGTTCCATGTCTGATGAGGACCACGATTGGAGCTCCACTGGCTTCCAGACCTTGGATTCCTCATCGAAGGTTTCCTTGTCCAGTGCCCCCATCGTGCACACCGCTCCTGGCCTGGTCCTTCCCCTGGGCACAGGATCGGCGTATACCCCCCCCCCGCGCAGGGCCTGCCTGCCCACTGGGCTTGGACAGGATCGGCGTAGGTGTCCTCCTCCTCCTCCTTCTCCTCCTCCTCCTCCTTCTCCTCCTCCTCCTCCTCCTCCTCCCTCTCCTCCTCCTCCTCCCCCCTCCTCCTCGTCCTCCTCCTCCTCCTCCTCCTCCTCCTCCTCCTCCTCCTCCTCCTCCTCCTCCTCCTCCTCCTCCTCCTCCTCCTAGGTGAGTCCTCCGCAGGGGCCGCGCGCGGGGAGGTCCCCGAGGTCCCTCGCAGGCCTCCCGAGGGCCAGGAGCCCTCCGGAGGTCTCGTGGAGGGCCCCGCGGGGCCCGCGGAGCGGAGGCCTCCGTAGGCCGGGGGGGCACGAGGAGCGGTCGACCACGGAACATCGAGCCTCTATCCTCGGTCCGCGCGCAAGCCGAGCAAGAGGAGCTCAAAAGCGGTCGACCTTCGATCCTTGGTCTGCGCAAGGGTCGTACATGGAACATCGGGCCTCGATCCTCGACCCGCGCACAAGGCACAGTCGATCTCAACGACTTCCTCAGTTCGAGCCTCGAGCTTCGGGCCTCTAGCCCCGTGCCTCCAGGCTGGAGCGTCGACACGATGAGCTCGAGCATCGAGGACCGGTCTGACCTACCTCGGTTCGAAGGGAGCAGAGAGGAGGGACCCCCGCGCTTCGCGCGAGCCCTGAAGGACAAAGAGGCGCAGGAGGAGGGCAGAGGTTAGGAGGCGGGAGGGGGAGGGAGGCGGGACAGGAGGAGAGGGACGGACGATGATGACGACGATGACGATGATGATGATGATGATGATGATGATGATGATGATGATGATGATGATGATGATGATGATGATGATGATGATGATGATGATGATGATCATGATGATGATCATGATGATGATCATGATGATGTGGAGGAGGAGGAGGAGGAGGAGGAGGAGGGCAAAGGAGGAGAAGGAGGAGGAGAAGGAGGAGGAGAAAGAGGAGGAGGAGGAGGCGGAGGCAGGAGGAGGAGTATCGGGCATCGAGCCTCGCTCCGCGCCCTCTGCGCGGAGCTGCGCCCCCCCCAATCGGCCGAGCGGCGTGTACGGAGGCCGCCAACATGCACATCGCGCACGGCCTGCGAGAGAGCTGCCCGCGCCCTGGCCGCCGGCCCGCGCCGTGGCCGCCGCAGCCGTCGCCGATACCGTCACCGCCACCGTCGTCGTCGCCGCCGTCGCCGATACCGTCACCGTCGTCGTCGTCGTCGTCGTCGTCGTCGTCGTCGTCGTCGTCGTGGTCGTGGTCGTGGTCGTCGTCGTCGTCGTCGTCGTCGTCGTGGTCGTCATCGTGGTCGTCTTCGCATTCGTCGTCGTATTCGTGATGGTGGCGGTGGTGGTCGTCGTCATCGCGGGGCAGTCGCTGTCGCCACGGCCGCTGGCGTCGCCGCCGCCGTCCGTTTTTTCGGAGGCGCTCGGAGGCTCGGAGGGTTTCGGGGGTTTCCCCGATGCTTTCCTGCGGTCGTTGGAGGTTCGCGGGCGTTTCCGCCGTGTCTCAAAAAATCAAGCATTGGCGAAGCGTCCAGGCTCGCCTATAATTGGGCCAACCAAAGAATGATCTGAGAACCTCGTGTGGTTAGCACGAAATGTTTTCAGAACATTTCTGGCTGGGACTGTCTTGTTTTAGCACATCGGGCTTATGGTCTAAGGACATTGTTTTTGTTCTTAGAACATTTCTGGGTTCTAAGAACATGTCGTGCTAGGCCTATAGAAATTCTGGGACGGTCGGTTAAACGTTTCTGGGGGCCGCATGGACTCGCTAGAATTTCGACGTCGTGACGTTGCTGGACCCCCGGAGCCCTGGATCCCTTCCCCGGACAAGTGTCTCATCCCGTTGGGAATGGCGTCGGTCCGAGGTTCTTTTGTCGTAGTGTTTCTTTGTCGCTGTCCCTCAACTTGCGTATGGCGGGCGAGGTTCCAATCGGTAGATCATTATGTAAAGCCACCCTTCCAGCTGAAAACAGTTCCGCGCGTGCCGCTAGAGGAATGCACACCCTCCATGCTGGATCCTCAATAAATAATCTGGGCCACAGGCCCCTGGTTTCCCAGCACGTGCCCGCTCGAGGACTGCGCGCCCATCGCTCCGGACGCTGCAACTAAGCCGCGACCGCGGATAGTAAAATATCCCCCTCTTAACCCTTGTATCACTTTACCACGGGATTGAATGTGGCTCAATTGCCACAACAGGCGGGGAAGCCGAATTTTCCCTACCTCAAGTTCCTATCGTAGCTCTGACCTTCATCTCACGCATCGCACCATGAATAATCCCATCCTAACATCGATATCTCTGGGAAAAGTTTGTCATCCGCCTGGACCCGAACTTTACTATCATTATTCGCATGGAATTATTCTCACCAGCATGTGATTAGCGGGGTGCGGAGGCCTCAGGAAGGCTTCCGGGGCACCTGGGCACTCCAGGACGCCCCAGGAGGCGATGCCAGTGTGGAGGATCTCCCGCGCTCCGAGTCATCTGAAAACCTGACGGGGTGCAGAGGCCTGAGGAGGCTTCCGGGGGGCACGTGGACACTCCGGGACGCCCCAGGAGGCCAATATCATGTCCAGGATCTGCCGAGCGAAACGCTTCTTTTGCATCATTGGTTGAGGATGTCTCGGGCGAAACGCTTGTTCAGCAGAGTTTGAGGGCGTCTCGAGCGAAGCGCTTTTGTTGCTGAATGTGTTGGGGATGCCTCGAGGAACACGTTTGTTTCTGCGTATGTTCCTATGGACCGGTTGTGTCAATCTAGTTTGTTATACGTTTGTCTATACATAGATGTACGGATATCAAATGTTCATTGCATGTTTATGAATGTGCGTGTTGTCTAGATGTGTACATATACACATATGTAGGAATCAAGCCCCGTGTGTGTGTTTACGTGTGTTCCTATGGGCTAGCCTCAATTCCATTGCGGCTTACTTTGTTCCTAATGATTGGCCTGAAAAACCGGCGTTGTACGCATGTGCCGGTAGATTGGGCTCAAACCTTGTGTTGTTCATGAGCGTTCCTCTGGACTGGTCTCAAATCATTGTGTGCTGTACGTCTGTTTTGATGGATTGGTCTCAAACCAATGTTGTGTTACGCATGTTGTTAATAGCCTGATCTGAAACCCTGGGCGTCATGTGTTCTTATGTATTGGCCTTCACTGTTTGCTGTTTGCAAATGCTCCCGTCGAGTGACCTCAGTTCCAATATATTGTCCGTTTGTTCATATGGCCTGGCCTCACAATAATTGTGTTTTACGTGTATTCCATAGACTGGTCTCAATTCAGTGGCGGTTTACGTGTGGTCCGACAGCATGGTATCACAAGCGAAGCGATGCGTGTTTGCGTATGTTCTGTTGGACTGACCTCGAATACAGTGTGTGTATGTGTGTTACGTGTGTTCCTATAGTCTGGTCTTCAAACGATCTCCGGCGTTTCCCTTGCCCGTTCCATGGCGCGTGCCTTGTCACGTCCCTTGGCGCGTTCACTGCCCCGTCCCCTGGAGCGTCCCCTGGCATCACGTCCCTGGCACGCCCCATGGCACGCGCCTTGGCACGCGCCTTGGCACGTCCTGTCCCTGTCACGTCCAGGGCACGTCCCCACTACGTCCACTGACCCGTCCGCTGGCACATCTCCGAGTGCGGCCTTAGCAAATTCCGTGGCGCGTCCATGCGCCCTGCGCCCCGTGTCATCTCGTCTTGTTTCGGAATTGTGTTGGATGTTGTGCTCGAGCTGATTGAGCGTCCAGCACGTTTCGACTGCAACCAGCTCTGGGCCAGCTATGTGCTCAAGAAGTTCGGGCTGAATACCCAGATCAGTACGGTCAGGATCGATTCACAACGCGAAATAACACAATCGCGGCATGGCACTTCAGCACGGTACAGCGTGGCACAATTCCAGGCACAGAACATCACGATCGATACATTCAATATTGTAATTGCCCGTCGCCGAATTAGGTGTCTTGAGCAATTTTGCCATGCCTCACATTTCTGAATTCTTTTCCGGGTTCGTGAGCGGATCATGTTTGACCATGCTGGTGCCCAGAGAGGGCCCCTTGAGGCCGATCATTGCAATCCTCTTCCGTTGTGTTTTCTATTTGTTTCACGACGAGCGGAGGTGGGGGTTTTGTCGTCACCATCATCGTAGTCGTCGCCATCGTCGTCGTCCTCGTCCTCGTCCTCATCCTCGTCGTCGTCCTCGTCGTCGTCCTCGTCCTCGTCCTCGGCGTTGTTGTCGTTGGCAGGGGCTGACCGCACCTGGGGGCTCGTGGTGCTGGCCAGACAGATGCCCTCTCCAAGGGGGCGGCGCAAGGTGAGGGCAACCTTGCAGTGGCAGGTCCCGGGAGATCCCCCGAAGCCCGATCTCTAAAAGCGAACAACTACATAAGCATTCATGTTCGGAGGTCCGGTCGGAGTTCTTGGATCGGCGCTGGACGCCCCTCCCTGGCGCGCGGAGAACGCCAGGCAGGGGCGGGGAACCTCGCTCCCTAGTCGAGCAACAGGCTGGCCACGCTCTCAGATTGTGCCGTCGGCCCCCAGGAAGCCATGGGGCCGACATCCTGCAAGGGGCAGGGGCCGTTCTTAGCTCGAAGGGTCCCCCCCGTGAGCGGCCGGCCGGCGATTACCTCTTGCACAGGTCATGCATGTTCGGCTTCTCGTCATGCATTGTCCCATTATGGTTGCATGTGTCTCATTTCTGCTAGCACATGCTGGGCGCTTCGGCCCTATCCTGCGGTACCCACGCGGTGCATGATGCAGGCCGATGTCCGATGATGTCCGAAGGCTCCCCCCTTGGATTTTGTCCAGGGGCCGACTTGCTCTCGGCGCTGCCAGGGAGCCCGCGCTGAGGGCGGGGGCCCAGCGGCGTCGCCGCGAGGCGTGCTAGCCGGTGTGGCATTTGGCCGCGCCGTGCGTCGCCGAGCGCCACTGGCTTCCCCTCGGCGGCAGGCACAGGGGGGCAGCGAGGGGAGGCGGGCCTCCTCAGAAGGCGGCGGGGCTTCTCCGGTGACCTCATCTCGAGGCTCCGATGCCAGCCTCGGCCGCAGGGGCAGCTCGGTCGCTCTGCGGTCTGCAGCCCTGCGGGTAGCGGGTCGAGCGACAAGGGGGGGGGGAACGAGGCTCGAGGTTCCGAGGTCCTCGGACGTTCTCGGCGTCTTCTCGGCATCCCTCGGACGAGTGTATTTTTGTTCGGCCAGGCTCCTCGATGCCTGGCGAAGACATGCGCGCACGGAGCCGGAAAATGCCTGGGGGAGGGACGTCCGAGCGATGGCGAGTCCTTCTGGCCTCAGGGTGCTTTCGAGCACGCGCGCCTCGCCGGGGGCGTTTAGGGCGTTCCGGGGGTGCCCGGATCGTCCCGAACGGTCGCCAGAGGCCCGAGTTCTGACCCCGAAGTCCGAGCCGCGAGGGTCGCTCGGGTGGGGCGACGGGGGGCGGTAGAGGGGAGAAGGCATGAGGAGGAGGAGGAGGAGGAGGAGGAGGAGGAGGAGGAGGAGGAGGAGGAGGAGGAGGAAGAGAAGGAGGAGGGGAGGAGGAGGAGGAGGAGGAGGAGGAGGAGGAGGAGGAGGAGGGAGGAGGAGGAGGAGGGGGAGGGGAGGAGGAGGAGGAGGAGGAGGAGGAGGAGGGAGGAGGAGGGGGGAGGACCCCTGTGCGTCCGGTTGCGGCCTCACGTCCAGGCGCTTTCCTCGGCACATGGGCGCCTCTGGCGCGGGGTGTCGCCGGGGGGACGGATGGCTTGCGAACCCCCCATCCGGGGGACCACCCCTTCCGTCCGACCTAGCGGGAGGGAGCCAAGGCATGGACTTCATCCTGCGGAACTTCGACGCGGTGTCCAAGACCGGGGCCTTCGAGGAGACGCCCTTGCGGGTGGCCGAGGTGTGCCGCTTACCTCCGCTCCAGCGAGCCGCGCGATGAGTGCGCCTTCTCTTCCTCCTCCTCCTCTTCCTGCTCCTCCTCCTCCTCCTTCTCCTCCTCCTCCTCCTCCTCCTCCTCCTCCTCCTCCCCCTCCTCCTCCTCCTCCTCCTCCTCCTCCTCCTCCTCCTCCTCCTCCTGCGCTCTCCCTCCTCCTCCGCGTTTCGTTCGCCCTCGAGGAGAAGGATGAAGAGGAGGAGGAGGAGGAGGAGGAGAAGGAGGAGCAGGAGGAGGAGGGCGTGGAGTGGAGTGGAATGGGAAGGGGGCAGCTGAAGGCTCCCTCTTCCCCTCCTCGTCGTTGTCGTCGTCCTCCTCCCCCTCCTCTCGCTCGCCCCCCTGCGCCCCCATTCTCCTCTCCCTCCTGGCCCGCGGCACCCGCCCCCCCCCCCGCCCGAGGAGATGGGACGCTCGAACGTGGAGCTGGTCTTCGAGATCCTCAAGAGCCGGTGAGGGTGCCCGCCTGCGGTTGCGCCATCCGTCGTCCGACCCCGGCCACCGACGTCTCGGACAGCTTGCTTGGGTCAGCGGGCGCGAGGAGAGTCGGACGCCAGTCTAGCTGCGGGAGGGGCACTCCAGAGGCGAATTTGGGTACTCCAGATTTCGTAATAAAAGGGAGCGGGTCTGGACCCTCCAAGACAAGCCATTTCAGACCCCCCCCGTGGGAGAACCCTCCAAAACATCGTCCCCAGACCCCCCCAGGCCCTCCAAGATGGCCTGGAAGAGACCCCCCCCGAAATGAGACCCCCCTCCCTTTCTTACGAAATCTGGAGTACTGAAAGCGGGCACGGGGAGGAGGGGGGCAGAAGAGCGAACCGCGTTCACAAAAAGAAGGCCTTCCCGCGGTGCCAGAGATGCACCGACGAGGTAGACCAGGTCCACGGAGGGCCGACGTCTCGAACAAGTCGAGGCGATTTTTTTCCCGCGGAGAGCCTCGGCCCAGATTAGTTGTGCAACATGTCCCCGGGGCCATGTCCAGGAAGGGCCAGCGGGGCGATCCTCAACAAACAATCAGGGGGTGCTCATGGCTCAGGCATTGCGGCAGGATCAGCCGACCTTGAAAAAGTGAACAGCTTGGGCGTAAGAGGCAAGGGGGCAGCGGCGCGGCTTGCGGGCGGGGGCGAAAATCTACCAGTCCTCGGCCCATCCATCCACTGCGCCGGGGTCGTGTTCCAGAGGCCGTGGAGACATGTTGCGCGTCTGCTGGCCCGTCCACTGGCACTTCCACTGGCACGTCGACTGGCTCGTCCCCTGAGTGAGCCTGAGTATGAAGGTAGGGGGAAGCGGGGAGAAGGAGGAGGAGGCAGCAGGTGGAGGATCACGCTAAAAAAAGCAACTCCACACTTAGGTACGGGAGGTTGATAGAAACTCACTACCATGTCAATTGTATAGCTGTTTCTTTGTTTTTCGAGAGGTATTGCAGCTGCACGGTTTGCGGTGCTTCCCATAACCTTGTAATAACGTGCTTTGGGATACATGGGGACCTTGTTTGTCGGATGCCTGGCGTGGGAGGAGGAGACGCTGTGCTCAGGCGCACAACCTTGCAGCCATTCGCTTTTGCTCTTCGAGACCCTTGTGGGCAGCTGACATTTTTGCAGCACCCGCAGTACTCGACTGGTTGCGCAAAGCCTCAGGCTGCTTTAGGCGAAGAGCCTCTCGTTGCCCTACGAGCCGCGTGCGCCTTTGCTGGAGCCGCGTTGCACCTCTGCGCCGCCCAGAGCCGCTCTCCGCGGTTCATTTGTCTTCTCGAGCGCATTCGACGTCCAACCAAGCGAACCAGTCTTGTGCAGACCTGAATACTGTCAAGCACGGTAGAGGGATGGGGCACTTCGGCGAGTTTGCCCTTGCCCTTTACGACAGACTCCAGCCAGGCTACCATGGCACCCTTGCCTGTTCGACCCATCTTTGGCCAATCATCCAGTTCCGACTCCGCTACAATTCTCTTGGCCTCGACGAGCGTCTTGCACCCTTACCCTGGACCGTTGCTCTCGCAGTCGTGCCCCCTAGCAGCTGGGGTGATTTGGGGCCCTCGGCGCCCTGGAAGCACGGGGTCGTTTCCCCACTCGGGCGCGTCGCGCCGCAGCCGAGTTCGGCACCAGAAGAGACACGCGCATACGATGACACAGTGTAACCCGGGCCGCTGGCAGGGCCGCGAGGATGACTGCACTCCGCGCTCTGCGGCCTGGGCCGGACAGCTGCTCTCGCCGAGGGTGGCGGCGCGAGGGCGCGAAGGTGACCTCGCTTCGGTTTTCGAGCGTGCCCATGGGTCCAAGCTGGAGCCGCTCTTTCCAGGGCGGTGTGAGAGTCCCAGGCCAGGAGACTTAGGTGCGTGTTGCATGCGCCACCAGTTGCCGGCGGCGAAGGCGGCATCATCGACTGCCAGCGGAGACACCCGGGCGTCGTTGTAAGGATTCCGCTCGGTTCGGGAGGGACTCTGAGCCTCCCAGAGCACGCGTTCCCTGGAGGATCCTGAAGGTCTCCAGAAGTCTACGGGGAGTGCACTGAACGGTTTCTGGAGGCTCCAAAGTGGCCTACAGTCGCGGTTGATTAGTAGGTCGACCATGCCAAATCACGAGTGTTTTTGTGTCCTGTGTTTCGCGGCCCATGCCTTCTATATTCTTGTGGCAGTGTGGCCCTCGGAAGGGTCTTGTGTCCTCTCGCGTGTCCTCTCCAATCAGCCCCGACTGGGGTGCCAGTGAATGCCCGACAACAATAACGATAACGATAACAACGACAACGATAACAATAACGATGCTGCTATCGTTGTTACAGTTGTCACCGTTGGTGCCGTTGTCGTTGTTATCGGTGTTTTCTTTGTTATCGGTGTTATGGTTGCTGTCGATATTAGCGTGGATATCGGTATCGTTGTTATCGTCGTTGTTGTTATCGTTTTTATCGTTATCGCTGTTGTTTCCCATACACGTCCCTGGGCCATGGGCCCTCCTGCCCGCCGCCACGGGACAACTCTTCTCCAGGGTGGCGGCTTCAGGGCACAGAGGTAATCGCTCTCCGCGCGGCGCGTGCAGCGCGAAGCAAGGGGCCCTCGCCGAACAATCGAGTGGTAACCAGGTCCTTCTGGCCTCCCCCCGCTCGCGCGGGATTCAACATTTTAAAGTAGGAAGCACAACGCAGATCTATCACAATGGACACTGGAAACTGGAACTGGAGCAGGGAGCAGCAAGCCTGAGCCTCGCAGCCTGATGGCCCCTCAAGGGGGCCGGCGGATGACGGGAAGCGCGCTAAGACTCGAAGAGTCGCGCGATGGACGCTGGTTTCGGCCTGGAGGCAACATATGTTTTAACTGGGGAGGTGCAGGAGGATTAGAGCCTGGCAGATGACGGGAAACGCGCTAAGAAAGGCCCTGGCCCGAGCGATTTCTGGCGTGTCTCGTGTGTCGGCGGGGTCGCAAGCCCCCGCACAGCATGCATGCAGTCGATTGCGGGACATCATGTTTCGTTTCCCCTTCTTCTTTGCGGCATCGCTTGCCGAAGTTACCCACGCTGGAGGGCCGAGCGCTCGGTGACGGCACGATCACCGTGGAGTTCCGTGTTGTCGCTTGATATTGATGATAGGAGCGAGCCAGTGCACAGCATCAGATGCTATCACCGCGCCTGCCCTGCCATTCTCGCCAGAGGGCGAGCGTGGCCGTGGCTCGATTTCAAGGATGGCCAGGACCGACGCTATGGGGCAGACTGAAGTCGGCGACACAGAAGTAGCAACAGCTTCGGGAGATGAGTGGGTGCCTCAGCGTTGGGGCGCGGTGGAGTTTCGATCATCTCTCTGTTCTGCTGTAACATGGTCATTCCGCTCGAGGAAGTTCAGGATGATCCTGACACCACGGGCCATCGTGTACGCGAAACGCCAGAATCCGGACCGACGTATGAGCTACCTCGACGCGATGGAGTTGAGGACCCTCTGCAGGATCTGTCCACAGCTGTACAACGAAGCGGCCATCGCGCTCACCAGTTTGCTTGTGTGGGACACGACAGTAATTAAGTGGCTATGTTTTCCGTGCGCCTACATCCGGTGGGTCGCGGTCGTCTACACGAACCAATTCCGTGACCTTCGGATCACGCAGAACGGGAAGTTGGTGCAGTATTCCTCCGTGGCCCGCGAGAGCCGACAGTGATCGCAGTTTTCAGATGCGTCCAGTTTCGTCGCTCTCGCCCCGGTGAGGTTTCAGTTCTTGTGCAATTTTGTATTTTTTGTTGTTTGTTCAACGTTGGCGTGTCTCTTGCCTTCCCCCCTGTCCTTTGGCATGCCGCGCTGGTGATTTTGAGTTTGGCTCGGCCCGCAACCCGCAGGCAGGCGGTTACCGACCCGTCTGCCGCCCTCGTTTTATCATCCTGGAGCGTTGCCGGCTTTGCGCTGCAGGTAGGGGCGGCTCCAGCCTCGGTGCTCCATGCTTCCCCGCGTCTGCCACGATGCGCGGTTTGAGCTTCCTTGCCGGCCACTAGCCCCTTGGTCAGAGGACCAGGTGTTGATGTGCGAGCCCGCTACCTTGTGGTATGCTCCGCGTGCGACGTTTATGGATGCGCATGCGCGCGGGTCGACCACGCGGTTGGTTTTGTGATTGTTCGCAAGACTTCTTGGATTTGGGTAGCGGTGGTACCAAAAGAAGCGCGATCAGAGTCGAAGGGTCGAGCGATCGACGTCGGCTTCGGCCCAGAGGAAACATCATTTTTGAGCTGGGGAGTTGCAGGAATGGAAGGGTTCAGGGTTGCTCCGTTGCTAGAGCTTGGCAGATGACGGGAAGCGCGCTATGATTCGAACAGGCGCGCGGACATTTAGTGGGGCCCGGAGGGCAAATGTATTAACTTGGCCTTGGCGAGGTGCAGGAGGGGAAAGTATTGGGGGACCTCCGTGGTTACACCCCTGCGGATGGCGGGAAGCGCGCTAAGATTCGAAGAGTCGCGCGATGGACGTTGGTTTCGGTCTGGGGGGGCATATTATCAACCGGGGGGAGTCTGAGGGGGTACGGGGTCGGGGTACCTGCTTAATTCGACCTTGCCCGATTCCCCAACGTGGCCATTTCGCTTGAGACATCCTCACAACATGGAGACACCGAAAGATTTGTTCCAAGGTGCTTTATGTTAAACAGAAAAGGGTACGTAGTGTAAGAATATGTAGGGTTCGGCTTAGAAGAGATGGAAGTCCATGTTTTGTTTTTTGTTTGTTTCTCAACATTTTGGGACTTCGCCTGGGCTTGCGCGGGCAATAAACTCGATGTGGTACCTTTTTGTGGACGTTAGGGGTGGGCGGCACATCCGAACTTGCGCGGGTAGTGATCACTTGGTGTTTTTCGTGGACGACTGGGTGAGCGCCTCGGCTGAACTTGCGCGGGTGGTGAACTCCACCTGGTACCCCCTCTAGACGTTTGGGAGGAGCGCCTACGCGACATGTGACCTTTTGACATGTGACCTTACCGTTTGCGCACGTTGTTTCCGAGCTCTTTCATTTCACGCGTTTCCCGGTCATGTCAACGAAGGTTTCCCAGAATGGCCATTTCGCCTCTTAAAGCATCTTCGCAACATGGATATACGAAATATGTATTGTAGGGCGCTGTATGTAAG